CACACACACACACGCGCGCGCGCGCACACACACACACACACACACACACACAAACACACACACACACGCGCGCGCGCGCACACACACACACACACACACACACACAAACACACACACACACGCGCGCGCGCGCGCACACACACATGGAAAGATAGATGGATAGTCCGGATGGTCATATAATACGTGCTAAGAGTCCGCTACCCATAGGCAGTAAATATCAGAGCAGCGTGACGACAGCATATCAGCCCGACACCCCGACACTAGAGGGCACGAGTTCACACGTGTCCGCGTTTCGCCCACACAAACATCGGTTAAACGTAACACCCATGCTACATGAGTTGTCGCCGTCATCAGCCGATATATATATATTTATACTATATGTTTAAACGTATAAACATATATATATATAGTGGGCGAGGCGGTGTAACGACAACATGCTCGTATAAATGTAGAGTAGGCACGCACGCACGCACGCACGCACGCACGCACACACACACATACACACGTACGCACGCGCACACACACGCACACACGCACGCACGCACCCCCCCCCACACACACACGTACATACACATACACACACACACATACACACACACATGGACCCCCACTCACACACAACCTGATTTCGTCTGTTGTTACACATACATCGTAACCTCATACACACACACACACACACACATGGACCCCCACTCACACACAACCTGATTTCGTCTGTTGTTACACATACATCGTAACCTCATACTCGGTCGGTAGGCCTAACGCTCTAAACAAACATGAGTTATGTTGATGTTAACATACATCCTAGCCTCATACGCGCGTAGCTACACCCTGCCGTGGCATCGTGAGTTATGAGACATCGTCAGTGTGTGACATACATATTAACTGCGTAAGTCTTTAGTTACACCCGATAGACAATATATGAGTTTTTTTAAATGTGGAGTGACGGGGCGTGGGGACTGTTTCTTCATTGTGGGCACGTACACACAAAGTATAATACACATAATATATACACATAAAGTGTAATACACATAAAGTGTAATACACATAATATATACACATAATATATACACATAATATATACACACAAAGTCTAATACAGATAATATAAACATATAAACTATAATATACCATATTTACATATAACATCAACGTATTAATGCCGAGAAAAATACAATCGAAAGTGAATCTAGAAAGAACAGGAGAAGAAACCTTGAATGCATATGTACATAATATTTATGTCCTCTTCATGTCACACTATAGTGCCTTGATTGATATATATATATATAATCGTAAGTGTCCGTACGCACGCGCGCGGGGACACTGGCCTAGATATCTCCATCACGCGAGGCTGATTAACCTATAGAAATACCTATAGAAATACCTATAGAAATACATATAGAAATACCTCACAGGTGGATCACACGCCCTTCTATCCACGTTAAGGCTCTGCAGCCGTAAATCTACGTTGCCTCGGCGTGTGGGGGTGTAACATTGCAGCGCTGTTCTATTGTTGCGGCTCACTGAAATGGGTCACGTGATAGCGACGTGTAGATCGTCTGCTGTGTCGTGTGAATATACCGTGTGAAAGCGAATTGCGAGATAATTCGTTCTAATCTTGGTTTAATCCACGAGAAACTGTACAGCATGTAGTTGTACAAGCATTGTAATGATGTTGTTATTGTGTTTGTATATCGTATTTGTAATGTTGTTTCTTGTTTTTAGGATACCAGCTTATCTTTCTAATTAATTCAATCGTAGACCTGGGTTACTTCAGTTAACCGCGTGCGTGCGCGCTTTCGTGTGTTTGGCATGTAACACAACGTGCAATAAACGTCGTTTTGCTTAATTAATGCTTAGTTTATTTGCTAATAGTTATTTGCTAAGCTATAAAGTTTATCATATATTAGAACTTGTAAAACATGTAGATTTTCGCGGATATGATGTTACGTTTATGTGCAAGTGCGAGTCAAACTCTGAACCTACACCATTACAATATCGATATCGATGCATCAAATATACCGATGAGATATCGATGCATCGATTATACCGAAGAGATATTAATACATTACAATATATCGATAAGATATCGATGCAACAAATATACCGATGAGATATCAATACATCAAATATACTGATGAGATATCGATGCATCGAATATACCGAAGAGATATCAATACATTAAATATACTGAT